TTCCTGATAGAAAAGTTCTTCCAGAGAGCCCTTGATAGCTAATCCACCATCTCATGCAGCATCTGATGGAAAAAGTTGTGAAAAGCAGTATTTTGTGCTGCTCTCATGCAAACAAAGCTCATTTCCATGGCAATTGTGTCAAATAAAAACTTCTGGGGGCAGAGGCTGTGAATTCTTCTAGGATTTAGACCATGATAAGAGCAGTCAACTCATAAATATTTACGCCTGAGGCTCACAAAATGAGCACTGCTCACTAATTTGCTTCGTTGTCATTAAGTCCGTTGCTGTATTTACTGAGCTATGGTCAGATCCTGCCACACAGACCCACTGCTGCCTCCTTCTCTGTCACCTGGGAAACTGATAGTTCCAACTTTGATAGTAAGAAAAACAGGGCCAGATATTCCTGGTTGGCTAGGAGCAATGTTTCAGTGCACTTGAGAAAACACAAATACCTTTTTATAGCAGACATTTGGAGGCGTGTCCAGCTCTCCACCCACCTTTAGGTCCACAACACAGGACAAATGACCACGTTATATTTGCTGCAGGTTGATTGTGTTGCCTACATCACTTTTTTTTGTCTCTGTGAGTGTGATAAATTCAACAGAATCAGAGCGGGATGGATTATCGACCTAGGATGCAAATATGAAACTAAATATGTCTTTAGAAATCAGACTTGCTGAATATTTTGTTAGCTATACACCAGTCTGTTTCGATGCATTATAGGCACTGAAATCAGGTCAGAACAAAACCTTGCAGAACAATGTTCTGTCTCAGAGATATTGGTTTGCAAAGGAAGAACACAAGGACAGGAAAGTCTGTAGAGATGCTGCCTCATCTGCCAATTTGGAACTCAGTGCATATTGAGGCAGAAGTGCTGTCTTTGTATTTAATTGTTTTTCTCATTTTTCTTTCCTGATTTTGTCCAATCTCCCATTGATCTAATGTGAACATTTGATCATCACATCTTCCCATGCCAAGGAGTATCTACAGCATAATTATATGTTGTGTGAAGTACCATTTTCTCTTCTTTTTGTTTCTTAAACATGCCACATTCTAGTTTCATTCAGCAGCCACAGCTCTCATAACAAAAGGCATTTAACAATCATTCCGTCATTCTGTCTCCTTCCTCCATGCCCTCACAATGTTATTTGTCTCTTGTCTTTCACCTCTTTCCAGACTAAAGAGCTACTCTGTGTGTCTCATGTGGAAGCTGTTCTCTAGGTTTGTTCATCCTTTTCTCTGGCCTGTAAAATTTTTCCAGTTTTTTGAGGTGAAGGGCCAGAGCTGTGCACTGTGTTCAAGAAGCAGTGTCATGGTGATGTGATTTGTTCCCTCTCCTTCTACAAAATACATTTTTATCCCCCTTATCTGACCCATTCTATAAGAAGGAAGACTGTTTACTGGCATCCCTTGGACACAACTAGAATTATTTAGTGCAGAATCCTTCCTGCAAGTCCAGCCACAATTCCCTGACTAAGTCTGTAAAGTAAACGTGAAGATGTCAAGGGACCACGTCAATGGGACATGTATAGAGGATGTATTCAGGATCAATCCCTCAGCATAAAGAAGATCCCACTGATATGAGATAAACCAGTTTAGTGTTATAAAGACCAGGTCTTACAAAAGCTGGCAAAGCTGGACATATCATAAGGAAAAATCCTGAGGAGCAGGAAGTGCTGTTCTCTGATCCAAAGCCCACTAAATCATCCAAGTCTTTTCACTGATTTCTGAGAACTTTAGCATGGGTTCAGACCTCTACACCGATTTTAATTCAAAGACATAAAATAAAGTGATATGACAGCAGCCTGAGCAGAGGAAATTTGTATGTGAAGGCAAAGTCATGGCAAACATGAAGAAGTTAACCAGAGTTCCTTCCAGTTGCTGTATTTTTTATTGTTACTTTTATAAAGCACCTCTCTGTATGCCATCATTCATTATCTGTTTTGCATATCATCAGTGCCTAATAGCAACTAATTATTAATAAGGACTGAATACACATTACTATGTACATTGTGTGGAAGAGAGATAAGATGCCATGTAAATACTGTGAAAATGTCAGCTTCAAAAGACAAATTTACTATGGACAATAAAGTACTTTTTGCCATTATCAAGCACTCTTTAATATCTAGAGATGTCATTCACATTCCACAGACATGCATATAGTTTGCAGGTTTAAGAGGTGATTAATTAAAATCAGTGGTTTATCTTCTATAGTGGGTATTATTTTTTATTTTTTTTTACAGAAAAAAAATATCTATCATTGATAGTTTGATCCAGGTTATAAATAATAAAAGCAAAATCTTGAAGAAACTGCTTTATTCATCATGAATGTGTTCCATAGCTAGAGAACTACAGGATCCTCACCACATCTCAGTAAAACAGGTAGGCTTTTCTTTCTATGAGTGAGTTGAGGAACTCCCAGAAGTCAAGCAGTGTGTGCAGAGTAAAACCTGGATGAAGAGTGAGGACTGACTTCTGGCACTGGTTTCCCCAGCCCATGATGCCTCTTCAACAGCAAAGAGGTGGAGCTCCATTCCACAGATGTAGCCACCTCCAGGTTGTCTGCATGCCCTCCCCCCTCTCAAGAGCAGAACTTGTCATAAGCACTTCTGTAGCTGGTCACCATGGGACACATATCGACTCTGGACTGAGCACAGATGCCATAAATCATAGAGGAAAAGGAGTGGTTTCAGCCCTGAACAGACCAATGATTTTCTGATTGATTTCTGGATGGGGGACAATGTGAAAATTTGGTGTCCTTCGTTGGGCCTTGCTTGGACAAGTGCTGAAAACCACTATTCTAAATGGGCTGTGTGGAAGAAAGGACAGAAAAGCTGCTGAAAGTCAGAGCTTTGCAAAAGATGCTCGGGAGCAGTGGCAGGGAGAACTTTCTGCCTTTTCATCATGTGTCACCTCCTTTTATTATTTAGGAGGTGGGACCCTGTTGGAAAGTACTCCCTGGAGATGCCTTCACCAAGTGTGTCCCAAGGTGTTCAGCCATTTTACAGCAGCTTCTCAGAGGAAATCAGAATAAAATATGTCTCCCGGCTAGCCCAGAGCAGAAATGCCCAGAGACATGTTCATCTCATTGCAGTGGCCAATGTTTACAAGTGAAGGAGAAATTACTGCTCTTATTTTGGATATACTTTCTTTGATGGCATCTTCTTCTCCCCACAAAATGAAATCACCTTTTTATACAAACCAATTAAGCGGTCTTGGCCAAGCTTAAAAGCAATGAAGACAATTTCCATGCCAATAATAAGATAGAGGGAAAAAAACAAGAAAAATTTGGGATGTTCCAGTTGTGTATCTCCAAATCCAATAGTTGTCAAGGTGATAAAGCAGAAGTAAAAGGCTTCCTGAAAATCCATCCTGGTTTCCCACTTTGGAAGGATGGCAGCTGCACAGGAGATGTACACAAAGAT